GTTCGGGGAGACAAGGGAGGGTGGGAGGCGCGGGGAGATAGGGGGGAAGAGGGAAAGAAGGGGGGAAGGGAGGTTCGGGGAGATTGATTGATTGATTGATTGATTGTTGTTGTTGTTGTTGTTGTTGTCGGTCTTTTGTGGTGAACTGTTGTCGTGCTCGTATCTTTCGAACTTTCCGGGGGGGGAGGTCTGGGAGGAGGTTCAGGGAGGGAGGGGGAAGACCCGCGGTGTTTGGACTGAGGTTCGGCGAGACAAGGGAGGGTGGGAGGCTCGGGGAGATAGGGGGGAAGAGGGAAAGAAGGGGGGGAAGGGAGGTTCGGGGAGATTGATTGATTGATTGATTGATTGATTGTTGTTGTTGTTGTCAGTCTTTTGTGGTGAACTGTTGTCGTGCTCGTATCTTTTGAACTTTCCGGGGGGGGGAGGTCTGGGAGGAGGTTCGGGGAGGGGGGGGAAGACCCGCTGTGTTAGGACTGAGGTTCGGCGAGACAAGGGAGGGTGGGAAGCTCGGGGAGATAGGGGGGAAGAGGGAAAGAAGTGGGGGAAGGGAGGTTCTGGGAGATTGATTGATTGATTGATTGATTGATTGATTGTTGTTGTTGTTGTTGTTGTTGTCAGTCTTTTGTAGTGAACTGTTGTCGTGCTCCTATCTTTCGAACTTTCCAGGGGGGGGAGGTTTGGGAGGAGGTTCGGGGAGGGAGGGGAAAGACCCGCTGTGTTAGGACTGAGGTTCGGCGAGACAAGGGAGGGTGTGAAGCTCGGGGAGATAGGGGGGAAGAGGGAAAGAAGAGGGGGAAGGGAGGTTCGGGGAGATTGATTGATTGATTGATTGATTGATTGTTGTTGTTGTTGTTGTTGTCAGTCTTTTGTAGCGAACTGTTGTCGTGCTCCTATCTTTCGAACTTTCCGGGGGGGGGAGGTCTGGGAGGAGGTTCGGGGACGGAGGGGGAAGACCCGCTGTTTTAGGACTGAGGTTCGGCGAGACAAGGGAGGGTGGGAGGCTCGGGTAGATAGGGGGGAAGGGGGAAAGAAGGGGGGGAAGGGAGGTTCGGGGAGATTGATTGATTGATTGATTGATTGATTGATTGA